ATACAAACGAGCACCAATTAATTTTATTTAAAGAAATGGCGTGTCGTCTATTTCCGCTGTAGCAAACGTAGTACATAGGGCGACATCTAGATGTCATCTACCTCGCCCTATTCACTACAGCTGTCGCCCTATGCACTATGCTCTTTTATAGGAGCTTTGCTTTGGTGTCGGACACACAACATTGAAAGTTTCTGGATCCACAACATTGAAAGTTTCTGGACGCACAACAGTGCAAGTTGATAAAAGCGTTGTAAAATAGCTGAAATTGTTCAAAATGTCGTGTCCCTATTATTTTTCACATGACTGTATTTGCAATAAAAAAATTTATGGCGCGCGCCTCCCTTGCTAGGTGCTTGGCCAAGCTTCTATAAAAATACTTATGTAAAAAAACCTATTTATTAGAAATGCCATTTATATAATTAAAGTTTCGATTTGAAAAAAAATGTCCGTGAAAAAGCGTGCGATGAAAAAACGGGGCTTCGTGAGCGTGAGCAAACGTGAGCCAAAAAATAATTTCAAAGCGTGAATTTGCGTTATTTTCGAAATCATCGTGGGCGTGCGCGTGCGTGAACCAAGATCACTCTCGTGCGTGCCCACCTCTAGTTGCTATTTATTTTGGAAAGCAAAGATCAGCAAGTGCTATCCTGAAAATAGTGCGATTCACTTACAAACATACCTTTAGATTATAGTCGGACTTTATCTTTAATATATATTTGTATATGCGCACATACAACTAGAACAAATACATATAACAGAAAATGAAAATAATAAACATCTTACCATTCCAGCGTATTGGCATACTGGTAAATTAGCTGCTAGCATTGTGCGCACGTTATGTTCTTTATAATTTATCTCTTTTGTTGGCCCAATACAAATTTGATGTTGTATTATTATTTAGCAGTTAATATGATGTTGATCTGCTCAATGTTGTTCCGATTCATTTATGTTTTTTAGTTGATGTCGCCCTCCTGACACATTTGTCGTCTTAATTTTTTATGTATCCTGTTTTTTTGTAACATCGTTAGTGTTACACATATTTGTTGCATTCATACCTTTTAAAGTTTATATATTTATGCACTTAAAAGCAAGTCCTTTCATTGATCGTTTATCGGAATAGCTTTTGTGTGCTTTCAATCTTTAAATATTTTTATACGTTGGTACGTCTATATTTGTGGCATTTTTCTGTTTGTTTTCTTCTCGAGAACAATTAAGTTCGTATTCCAGCAGTAAATGATTTATCCTCGAGGTTAGCACTCACTTTAATCTCAGCTTACTTTTCACTTCTTCAGATATCTAATGAAACGATCAATCAAAACAACTTATCATTCATTTTATTGTACATTAGAACGATGCAATAATTCAATTTCAATATCCACCTTAATATTTTTTTTGTAATGAAAGCATTGGAGTACAAAAAACTTTTTGAGAGCTAATTTAAACTAAGCTTAAGGCTGCCGACAACATTCTCCATATGTAGTCTATGAACCTAGCTAGCTGATTTAACTGTAACATAGCATATCTCATTGTAAAGAGACTGTAAGCAATGAATCAGTTTAAGGACTAGTTTTAAAACCTAAATTTGTATATATTGCCACGTTAAGGTATAGTTTTGCCAATGGCTATTTTTTTATATAAAAATATAATAGGGACAATACAACTGCTTTTGAGTTTCCTAAATACTATATTGTAGAATTTATGGATGAGCGTATTGGATTTAACTATACCACTTTCAAACTTCACATAATACAAAGAAGTACTGGATATTTGCATTCCCCTTTTGACTCTTCATAATATTTTTAATTTTCTATTTTTCTATACAAATATTTATTTCTTTTGATCCTCCACAATCAAGTACATATTGCGCCTGCAGCTCTTGTTTGTTTAATGAACAAACGAGCTTCCGAATCAATATACACATCGTCACCTGAAATGAAAAAAGACGTAACATCATCGTAAATGAAATGGAAAAGGCCGTAACTAATATTTACATTTTTTTTTCATAAAATGATGTGGGGAGTTGTAATTCGAGGAAATCCATCATATAAATCAAAAAATTTATTTTTAATTTTTTATTAGTTATGACTGTTTTGCATTTCAACGATGATGTTTGTTACGTCTTTTTGCATTTCAGGTGACAATATGTACAATAAATTTCTTTTCTTTATTTGCCCCGGGAAAATTGTATATTTACTCCAGCCAACAGCTACATTAAAATGAAAACTTTCGGAGTTCTATAGTACTTTTATACATACAAATATTATTAAATTCTCCCTATAGCAAGAACTGATTTTTTAACGTCTGAATAGTAAATATATTACCAGGCAGTTTGTATGTGTATGTGTAACAACATATAGACACCTAAGCAGAGAACGAAAACAAACCATAGCAAACGTATCGGTATCGTTTAGTTTCGCTCATAGAAGGTAACGAAACACAACCGATTCAAATCACTCGGAAACATTTTGCGAGCAGTAACTTTACTCTATTAGCGTTCGCGCGTATCGTGTTTTGTTTCGGGTTTGCTTAGGATGAGTACCTTTACCACAATCGAAACCATGCAAGTGAGCAAAAGAACAAACGATTCGTTTGGTTTGTGCTCGGCTGCGGTACAATCGTGGTACAAGGCTCAATAAAAATATTAAAAATAAAATGTTTATAAGCCACAATAACATTGACAAAAAAAGTATAGTGTATTGTTAGCGCTCGGGAACATTATAAGAAAAGGAACACAAACTTTTCTTACTTGTTGTGGCAATGGGTAGTGATACGTTCCGTTTGTTTTCGTACTCTGCACCTAAGTGGAAGATCGATCTACATATCTCGGCAGTCAGTTCGCAAATGCCCTTTCTCAGAAAACTTTTCAAGTACGCCATACTTCAGAATTTGATCGAAGAACACCTATTTCAAAATTTTATTGAAAACACCCTATCTCAGAATTTGGTTGAAGAACGCCTTATCTCAGAATTCGGTTCAAAAACGTCCTATCAGAAATGAAAATGTATTGAAAATGTGCTGAGATAGGGCATTTTTGAATCGGCAGATGAGATAGGCGTTTTTGAACCGAATTTATAGATAGGGCGTTCTTCAATCAATTTCTAAGATAGGGCGTTCGTTAACCAAATTCTGAAATGGGTCAATCTTGAAAAATTTTCTCAGATTGGGCACTTTCGAACTTGCTGCCGAGATAGGTCGATCTTGAACTCAGGTGTCGATATGTATGTATGTCTTTGAATAACGAAAGAAAACTCAAATTTATTCCATCACTTCATGTTGTAATGACCATTTGCCCAAATGATTTACTAGAACACGATATATAAAATTTAGGCCCGTGTGCAATGCTATTTTTCTGTACACACAATATAATTTTACTTTATTCAAAGGATCACTCTTAATTTCATTAACCTGTTGTCAGAACTTAATCGTATAATTTATCTATTTACATGCTCTGATAAAAGAAAAGAACCTCAGATTTAAAAGGCTGTGATATTTTTTTACAAATAAACTTTGCAATACTGAAACCGTTTGAAACCCAGGACCATCAGATGTTTCCCAATACTGTTTTCGGCTCGAATTGTAACAGCTGTGAACCAGGAACTGAGGAACTGCCCACGTAACAAATGCATATTTCGGATAATAACAGACGTAATTCGGTATAACTGTGGTTAAATGACCATTCGATAAAAAAGGCAATACATGCGAAATCCGAAAAATATTAGAAGAATTTAAAGCCATTGGGAAAGAATTCAGCATAATATAGATCTCTATACTTCCCTTCGTTCATTTACGTTTTTCTCAATAAATGAAAACACAATTTAATGTATTAAGGACATTGAATGTGAAAAAAAATTTGTTCGAAGTTACAAAAACAGTTTTTTGTTATACCCACCAAAATGAAGCACCAAAATTAACGTATGCGGAATGAAATGTGAACTATTTCAAGCAGACTTTAAAAAATTCTGGTAAACACAGGAGCCAAACTAAGTATACCTAGATCTACTTATCAACCATTCCACTAAAAATAATTTCGTTGTATATTAAAATGCTAAAATAACATCCTTGAAAACGAACGAACTCTGAAAATTTGCTTGTAAATTTTGTATCCCGAAACTCAATGTCACGAAAAGTAACGGCTTTTGCATTTTTTTCTATGAGACTTAAAAAAACTTTATTTACAAAAGTGTCGTTTAGCAAACCAGTAGAAGGATAACCCACGAGTGCGAAAAACATGTTTCACAAGCAGCGAAATGAGACCGAATCATAAATTGCTTGATCTCTCTGCAAAATCACAGCGTATAATGACAATAAAGTAAGTACAAAAAAAGCAAAAGAAAAACAAACAAAAAACAAAAAAAAAACAAAAAAAAACAAAAAAAACAAAAAAAAACAAAAAAACAAAAAAAAAAAAAAAAAAAAAAAAAAAAAAAAAAAAAAAAAAAAAAAAAAAAAAAAAAAAAAAAAAAAACAAAAAACAAAAAAAAACATTAAAACATTAAGAGACTATGCAAGAGCCAGGAATATAGTGAAATATGTGCAAACCACTTTACCCAAGGTTTTTTAAACTTTGAAATGGAAAACTAAAAGCCGCTATGAGCCCAAAATTTGCTTGCACCACATTCACTTCAGTTTTGAACAATGGATTAGGGAAATATTTTTCATTGGGGACCCATAAAAAGACTCCTAAATATAACTCTGAGCTGTTTATCGTCAAAATGGCTAAAAAAAAATAATAACCCCAATTGGCACAGTAAAGTCCCAAAATTATATTTTTCAAAAATCCCTCCGCACTATGCCCGAAAACTTAATCAGACCAATCGTAATGGACAGTCTTCTATAAAAATTTTTATTTGAAATTTCGGCATATCTATGTGAGTGGAAAAACAATATTTGTTGCATCCGAAAGTATAGCTGTTTCTTTTTACTGCATAAGCTCGTATTTCATTCCGCATACGTTACATAATTGCATTTAAATGAAAAAATTCATTAAATGCAGATGATATTACAATTTTACAGTTTGCGACCTGTGCCGAACGAATGCATGTGTGATGTTGAAATTTTGCAAGAACAATGCATCCACCAATATAATATTTTTGACCATGAATGTTCGTTGGCCGCTCAAATTCGCCCGTACCTCCCATATAAAAAATAGTGCCAGACGTTGATCGTTCTTATATTTAAATTATTATCTTATCTGTATTCATGATTGAAACACCAAAATATTTTTGGCTATTTTAAACTTAATTTTTTTTGCTACGAATCCGATAACGCCACTTTGGATCCGCCATTTTGAATTTAAAAAAGTCTGACATCAGATTCGAGGTAAGCGACCTCAAAAACCCCCCATTTATAAGAGTTTGTGGTGAAATGGAAAAAATTATAAAATTTGGTCGCCATATTGAATCCGCCATTTTGAATCTCAAAAATCTGGCATCATGTTCGAAATTAGCGATGTCAAGAACTCCCAAACACTGAGTTTCAAATCATCTTGGTTACTTCTCGACTTTTGGCCAGCAAATGATAATCGCCAGACCATAGTGTAATATTTCTAGGGCTTATAAGTGGAAAATACGTACAACCGGGGTGCTTATAAGCAAGAAATACTGTACTGTCAATGTCTCTTCCCACTTTATCCAAAATATGTCTCATTACAACATTATCGTCGTTGATGGCTTAAGCTACTCTCATCGGAAGCATGCTTGGCAGCTTTTATTTTAGTTGATGTTGTTTTTTCTTTGAATTTATTAGATTAACTTATTAGCTGAATATTTGTCCGCCAGAATATCAGAAATCATGGCCATCTGAAGTCGTTTAATTTTGGACTTTTAGCATGCTATAACTGAAAAAGGGCACAGTGTGCGATGTGGTGGTTAGCAGTGCGTGCTACCATGAAAAAATAAAAAACAAAACAAAATTTTTCTAATAGCGGTTACCCCTTGGGAGGCAATGGCAAACCTCCGAGTGTATTTATGCCATGGAAAGTGTCTCATAAAAATGCATCCGCCGTTCGGGTAGGTCCCTCCTTTGTGTGACAACATCAAGGCGCACGCCACAAATCGGAGGAGACGCTCGGCCAAACACTAACACAAATATTGTGTAAGAGCCAATCTATTATTAATTTGTTTTACAACTTTTTTTAAATTGTTCTAAAAATAAACTTCGGTGTCTAATGTAAACGGAAAATGCAATTTGAAGGCTATTGTGTTCGTACGATTGCCGACTCGTTCACATCCGTCATGATTCAACTACAGGATTTTTTAAAGTCATGTATGTGTTATTTTAATACTAAAATAAGCGGA